CAGTCATTTTGAAATGAGTTTTCTATTCTTTACCATCAATGTCACCCCAACTGATCCAAGTAGCATTGATACCCAAATCTGTAACATTTGTTTTCTCTTCTAAATCATCCACAAGCATCTTTACTTTCACAATAATGTATGTAAATGTTGTATCCATCTTTCCCCTTCCTATTATCATAATCATTTTTCTGTTTTGCATATGTAACCTTATAATTATTACTTTAGTATCTGCACAATCTCCTAAAAATGAAGGTACCTGTGAATAGTACTTTATTGCTAGATGGTTCAATTTCCCTTCATAGTTATAAACCATATTACTTATACAAAGATTACCTTAACACACAAGCCATTGACTACACCGGCATATACATCCCTGGACAATAGCTCATAAATGGCAATCATTTTTTTTCTTTATTTTTATTTTTATGTATGTATGTATTTATTTAGCTATTTATGTATTTTTGAGTCAGAGTCTCACTCTGTCGCCCAGGCTGGAGAGCAGTGGCATACCCACAGCTACTGCAGCCTCAACCTGCTGGTCTTACGCAACCCTTCAGCTTCGGCCTCCCAAGTAGCTGGGCCTACAATTGATGCCACCATGCCCAGCTATTTTTTTTTAATTTGTTGTAGAGACAAGGTCTTGTCATGATGCCCAGGTTGGTCTTGAACTCCTGGGCTCAGGCAATCCTCTCGCCTTGGTCTCCCAAAGTGCTGGGATTACAGGCATAAGCCACGACACCCGGCCTTATTTTACTCTTTAAAAAATATCTTCACACTAGTGAAGTCACACAATGCCCCCAAATCTAAATATTTTACATCTGCCATAGCCTAAAAGCAGATTGAGCTCAATATTTAAAATTCAGCCAGGAAATCTATCAAATCTGACACAGCTCATAAATGTGTTTCAGCACCTGCTGCATAGAATCAAGATGCAGCATTAAAAAGGGAGAGTGGGGAGCAGCTTTTGGCTAACTTTTTAATTAACATTCACTTCAAACCAAACAACAGATGGGCTTCAAAGGATACAGCCTGGAAACAATAGTACCTTGGCTCACAAGTCTGCTTTCTCCATTTGAATAGGGAGGTCTGGGGTGGATAGCAGAACATGAGCAGATTAGCATGACATGACAATAAGATGTCTGAATCATTCTCCCCTCAAAATCTCAATGGTTAGAGCATTATCGCTTATTCTATCTGTTTGACACATCAGTTGTCAGTCTTTATGGCTGAGTTCCACTTGGCTGCTTGCAAAAAAGAGGAGTTCCTAGCACAGCGTCAAGCATTGTCCCATCTGCCATGCCACACATAGACTGAAAATTTGACTGCCCTTCCTAGTCAAGATGCTCAAACTTATTGCAAAGCCATTGTTGAGGGAAATCAGTTGCCTGGTAATACTTCTGTAGAGATGTGAAACTAAGACTGGGCGCGGTGGCTCAGGCCTATAATCCCAGCACTTTGGGAGGCCAAGGTGAGAGGATTGTCTGAGCCCACAGTTTCAAGACCATGCTGGGCAACTTGGTGAGACCTCGTCTCTACAATAAATCAAAAAAATTAGCTGGGCAGAGTGGCGTGTGCCTGTAGTTCCAGCTACTTGGAAGGCTGCAGCGGAAAGATCACCTGAGCCCAGCAGGTCGAAGCTGCTGAGTGCGCTACTGCACTCCAGCCTGGGAGACAGAGTGAGACTCCAACTCAAAAAAAAAAAAAAAAGAAAGAAAGAAATGTGAAACTAACCTGGCTTACATTCAGTGAATAACCATATTCTGGTAAAAAGAGATTGTTATTACTCCACACTGGTCAAATAAAAAACCACAGGCATTATTTTCTAAAATTACACAAAAGCCAATCATCATCATGCCTCATGCCTGCTCCTGAGACTGGCAGGGTTAAATCTACTTGATTAGTCTATATCACCCATCATTTTTTTCAATGATCACCCATCATTATACATTTTAGGGGGTTCTGATGGCCTCCCACAGGTTTTTCCTGACTATGACAGAGGGTTTTCAGCATCCACATCACCTTGACTGATCATTAGAAATTTACATTCCATCCTGATCCAAATCAAAGAATTACCCAGGGCCTCTGGGGCTACCGTTTGACAATCTGCATTTAACAAATCCCTAGATGATTCCATCATAAGAACTAACTTCCTGGGCTGGTTCAGGGTACTTCGATGAACAAAATGATTCTTTATTACTAATTTTCAAGTTTCATTAAACTAGGACCCAGGTACCACCTCTCCTTCTCTCTGACATCTGAGCCACCTGAATGTCCACACACCTGAGATCCACCTTGAGTCTCCCCAACACCTGCCCCCTTTCAAGTTGGCTTCAACTAACTATCCACCCCAGAGGCACCAACTTCCTCATTTCTCTCAATGCAACTAGATACATGACTGGCTGCCAGTTTATTTTTTAAAGGAGGGAGTCTTATTACTATACATTGCTCTTTTCTTTTGCCCTGGTTTTTTGTAAAGAAAAAACTGGATCTTTTAAAAGTATAAGAGACTAGAAATCATGTGTATTGGACCATATGTAATTCCCTTTCTTCTTTTTAGACTAGCCAACAAACTACAAAATGAGGATTACTAGACAGTATGGATAGTTCTACATGTGTATTTAAGTAAAGAATTAGAGCAAAATGCTCTGTGAAGTGAAAATGCACAGACCCAGTCTTACTTTCTCCTATATTCTGAGCAATATGCCTTCTGGTATTTTCACCAGTAAAATATAGGAACTCCCTTCTAAAGTTGCTACAAGAAAACAGTGAGGAAATGCACATAAAATGCATAGTTCAGCATCCAGCACAGAGGGAACACTCAGGAAATTCTAGATGTTATTATCAGGCCAGGTTGTTTTGGAAACATGTTCAGAGCTGGAAAGATCTTTAATACAAAGCCTGCTTTTCTCCAGACAAGGAAACCAAAGCTCTAAAAGTTGAGCCTTGCCCAACAGTACACAGCTACTGGCAGAGCCAAAGCAGATGCCAGTGTTTTCTAAAGCGCAATTCAATATTCTTTTCACCACTCCATGATACTTTAGTTCACACCCCTCACTGAAATGTAGGACCAAGAAAGCCATAAGGTTCCAAACATGCCACGCACCTCACAGGCATGGGTTATGCCCAACCAGACCTAGAGGCGTAAATCACAGAATGGGAAGCTTTGATGATTAAGACTGAGTCTGTGAAAGTAATTCAATTAATACACAGCCGATTGCTTTCCTATTTTTTGTGGTGGCTGGGAGGGCATTTATCTCCCATCTTGGGTGGTTTCTTTTGTTTCTCTTGTGTTCAATCATTTTACTCCAAGAAGTACAAACAACTATTATGTAGAATTTGGGGGTTTTGTCTGGTGAGAACTATGAACATAAAAGCACTGAAAAGACTTACATTTCTATTCAAGTAAAGAGGGTGGGGTGGTAGGAAACCCAAGGACAAGTTCGCTCCTCATTTTGAAATATAAAGCTGGAATAGTGTGTGTCAGAAAGGGAACAATAGATCACTACAATTTTTAAATTTTAAATTCCTTTTTTTGAGTATGTTCTTATACACATTTAAGGAGAATTTGTGTATTCTTTCCTACACATTCATTCCCTAATAATTCTCCACCTTTATCCATTTATAAGACTAAGAATAATACAAAGATGAAAAAAAGTTAATATTTGTGAAACATGAGATTTTACTGTAAATGACCTCTTACAGCAAATAATGAGACAATGCTAGGGCTCTTTGCTTGATATCACCTCAAATTTTTTATAGTCACATTGGCATTCTGTCCATGAAACACGAGTATAGCAATGACTTCATTCTCTAGGATGAAGGATAATTGATCTTAACCTTCCTATCACTTTCCCTTAACTCAAAGCGCTAATGCAATTGAAGGCACGGATAAATAAAATTTCTGTAGGAATAGAATGACATTGTGACAGCTAACCTCCAAGTTACCTCCAAAACGTAAAGTACAACATGAATCAGGATCTCAATTCATGAAACCCCTGTCCTACAGCTCTCTGTCCCACAGCATGGAAAGCTGCCAAAAAACATTTTTTGAAGGGAAATTCAAACTTTGAAGGACATGAAGTTTTTCTTCTACAATTGTTAAAGGGAAAAAACCCTAATTTAAACAAAATCTCAACAATTCAAAATGAAGCAATGTTCAAAAGCAGATTATTCACTTACATTAAATTGATTAACGTGATGCTTTTATCACCACAAACATGAAACATTTTACCAACTTTATTTCCTGATGCTACCGACTAATCGTGATTTTCCACAAATAACATATAAATCTCAATAATGACATTCTTGAATACTGCATATGACTGCATCAAGTTGCTTCTTCACTCGCAATTCCTATTTATTTTCCCTTTCTTTTTCTTCACTTACTGATGGCATTTACCATACTGTGCTCAAGTATGTGAATAGCATTGTATTTTCACCCCCAGAATACAGCCATACTTTTTCAAATAGAGCTCAATGTTGGGATTAAGGTAAAAGATCTAACTGTTTTTTTCCAAATCGAGGTTTAAAGATAGGTTGTTTACTGGTTATCATGTTAGATGCCATAGTTCCCTTTCTAAAACAAGTAATTAGCGACTGTACCTCCTCCTCTGTTTTGCCTCTTTCGAGTAAATATGGTAACACCCTCAAGGCAAGCTGATCTAGAGAACGACGCCCAAAGCACACACACATACACACACACACACACACACACACACACACACACACACACACGAAAGCCAGAGCTAAGCACCCTGCATAGAAACGGTCACCCTGACAACCTTCACACAAAGCACACCTGGCTAACCTAAACTTAAGGACCAAAACACTTTACTGGCGGCAGCTCACCATCCCACCCAGCAATGCAAACCTGCCGCCCCATACCCTCTCACGCTCCCGGAGGCTCCACGCCCGCCCCAAGCCAGGCT